GTAGGACCGACGCACTGTCCCTCGGAACAGGTGCCATAGCATTCTTTCGGAGCATTGACCCATATTCCGGGACCGAAAAGGTGCATGCGACTCACAGGTGTCCGCCTCTTCGCGTATATCTGTGAAATTGAGTCTAACCGTCCTTCCACACTCCATTTTCTCTCCTTGTCTCATTAACCTAGTTTTAAGGGTTTGGACGTAACAGCATTCTTGTAACAACATCCTATTATATTTTAGGGGCTCGTCCGGATCGACGCAGTCGGATTGAGGTATCATGAGGAAAGGCAGTGAGACAGTGAGATCGCGAGATCGCGAGAGAGAACGAGATAATGAGAGACAGCGAGACAGTGAGACCGTGAGATCGCCAAAGAGAGCGAGGTCGTGAAAGACAGTGAGACAGTGAGACCGCGAGATCGCGAGAGAAAGTGAAACGGTGAGAGACAGTGATGCAGCGAGAAACAACGAGAAATAGTAAGAAATAAGTAGAGAAGATAAGTAATAACAGGGAACCGAACGATTTTACCATCGTTGAGCTGAAAGAGAAGCTGAAGGAGTTAGGATTGAGTGCGACAAGAAATAAGCCCGTTGAGTTGATTGTTTGGTTGGCTGAAGCGGACCCGACGGGCATGTGGATGCGAAACGATCTGGAAGCCGTAGCAACAGGCTTGATGGGCACGGCGGCTACTCCGACCGTCACCGATTATCAGAGAGAAATCGAGCTGTGTCGACGAGAAAAAGAGCTTGCAGATCACGAGTTAGCCATTACTAGAGAATTGCAATTATTACGAGGAACGCAGCGACTGAATGTATCCGACAGAGAGCAGTGAGTAGAACGAGACTCAATGGCAGTATCATCGAAGCTGAGTATTGCAGCCATATATGCAGCGGATATGTTAGGCCATATCAACGAAGATACGAGCAACTATGAAAATTGGAAGCGACAATTGATATTATTAAGGAGAGTTGACGGAGAGTCATATGAAAGTTCTTATTAGTATGAGAAAAGGCTGAAACTGAAAGAAAAGGTTCTAGAATGGTTCTATTTCGATCTTACCCTTATAAAGTCTACTGTCAACGATTTACTGAGTTACGTGAGATGTTCGACCATCATCCAAGCAAGGTAGAACTGAGAAAAATATTTGAGTAGAGGGTCTGGCAAAACGCTTCATGAATATGTTCACGCGAAGACCTCGCCAACCGAGTTCCCATTAATGCGGACGAAATACTGGATTACATCGTAGACGGTATACCAGTTGCGAGTTTGAGAGACCAAGCACGTATTGCAATATTTACATCGAGAGCATCCTTACTTCGAGCTTTTGAGAAGGTAAACCTGAGAGAAAAGTACCCAGCGGGCGTCACGAAGAAGTCGGAGACAAAGTATGGTCATCAAGATACAAGGTGGACAAGAAGGAGATGTCGCAAACGAGAGTCGGTGTTTCAATTGCGGCCAACGGAATCACGTGGATGCAGATTGTCCAACAAAGGCGGAAGGACTAAAGTGTTTTAGTTGTGGTGTGCGCGGACATATCTCTTCCAAGTGCGTTAAAAAGCAAAAAGCGGTGAGCGACGCTGACATTGCGCGAGACGCGCGCAAGAGATACATGAAAGAGGTGTTGATTAACAATCAAAAAGTAGAGGCACTCATCGATACCGGGAGTGATATTTGCATAATGCGAACCAGTACATTAGAATAAACGCACCGAGATTAGAGAAAGACAAGATTCGTTTTCACGGTATTGGTTTCTGTGAGACAATACAACTTTAGACAAATTTAATGCGATTGTAACTATTGCCAATAACGATTATTCAATACTTATTCATGTAGTTTCAGACACGCTCATGAAACACAGTTTATTCATTGGTGCAGATTTTTTAGATACTTGTTAAAATTACGATAAATGCCGGAGATGTTACTATCGATATCCCAGAGCTTATTTCAGAGAATAAAGAATTTCGCGAGATGTGTCATATGAATTTAGATTTTAATGAGACAAATGAAATAGACGTAACGCACGTGTCAGATACGAGACATAAAGACGCGATTGAAAATTTGATTAACGAGTATAGGCCCGAGAAGACGTGAGAAGTCGGATTAAAGATAACTTTATTGTTAAAAGACGATGAGCTTATGTATCAGAGAGCAAGGCGACTGTCGCCATTAGAGAGAGAGAGAGAGAGAGAGAGAGAGAGAGCCATTAGTGAACACGCAAATCGACGAATGGATACGTGAAGAGATCATACAGCCATCCTTATCGGAGTATGCGAGTCTAGTTGTATTGGTTAAAAAGAAGGATGGGACAATTTGATTGTGCATAGACTATAGACAATTAAATAAAAAAATAGTTAAAACACGTAATTTTGCATTTTGCTGGTAGCAAAATGAGATATACGAGGATGGTCCCAGAAGTACCCGACCTAACAAAGAAAACACAAAAAATTTGGGAAAAAATATCTTTATTTCTCAACATAGTCTCCTTTTAGCTCGATACACTTTTCCCAGCGATGTTCAATAGCTTCGATGGCCTGTTAGTAAGAACCGTTGAACTCCTCAAAATAGCCATTAACCGCAGACTCCACCTCTTCATTGTTGGTAAATCTTCTACCACCGAGCCATTTTTTCAAGTTTGGAAAGAGAAAATAATCCGAGGGGGCTAAATCTGACGAATAGGGTGCATGGGGAAGCAATTCGAACTTTAACTCAACATCCTCTCGACGCTGCTTTTGTTCGATTGTGAGCAAGCGCGGCACCCACCTTGCGCACAGCTTTCTCATCTCCAAATTTTCAGCCAATATGCGATGTACAGCACTTTTTGAAATGTTTACCATAAACTCTGAAATTTTGACAGAATACGAGGGTGGTCCCAGAAGTACCCGACGTGACGTACAGATGGCGGTTGTTGTATAAAAAAAATCACTGTAGGGGAAAGCACCAACTTTCTAAAGCTTAACTATGAAGTTTGAAGACGCTACGTTGTTCAATATTTGTTTGGCAGCCATCAATAGTGGACGATCTCGGTGAATTTGCAAAGATGAAAAAAATTGGTCATCGTTATGTGATACAATACTTTCATTTGAAAGGTCTTAGCCCAACCAATATCAAAGCCGAGCTGGATTCTACTCTGGAGAAGTCTGCTCCTTCGTTTACAATATATATTTAAATATATTACAAT